ACAACCCCTGCCCATAATACGGACAGACGCGTCCTGGCCCCGTCGCGCCTTCAAAGCGGCTCGAGGCTCCTCAGCGGGGAGGCGCGCGAGAGCAGGCCGCCTCTGGCCTAGACCTAACCGGAGGCGGCGCCCGACAGCGACCCCTTGGCCGACTTCCGGGGCCGGCCGCGACAACAGGTCTACCCCGAAAATGCCGACAGGCGCCTAAGTCCCGCCGGAGCCGGGTAGACCTGGTGGCCCTGCGCCGGGACGCCGCAGGGACGCAGGCCGCCGGCGGCGGCCGCGGCGGCCGCGGCGGCCGGCCCCGGAACCGGGTAGACCTGATGCTCGCAAGCCCCGGAACCGGGTAGACCTGATGCTCGCCAGCACCCGGCGGGGCACGAGGCCGGCCGCGCCCGAGTGGGGAAAGGGGTCGACCCGAAAAACCGGGACACCAGGTCTACCCGCCGGGCTGGGACACCAGGTCTACCCGCCGGGCTGGGACACCAGGTCTACCCGCCGGGCTGGGACAACAGGTCTACCCGCCGGGCTCGGCGACCAGGTCTACCCGCCGGGCTCGGAGAACAGGTCTACCCGCCGGGCTCGGCCACCAGGTCTACCCGCCGGGCTCGGCCACCAGGTCTACCCGCCGGGCTCGGAGACCAGGTCTACCCGCCGGGCTCGGAGACCAGGTCTACCCGCCGGGCTCGGCCACCAGGTCTACCCGCCGGGCTCGGAGAGCGGTCGTACCCACCGGCACCCCCGCCGCCGAGCCCGGTCGGCCGCCGCCCTGCCACCTTAAGAGAGTCCCAGCTACTCCCCCTCTTGACCCGCGCCGCGGACAACGCCCTTTCTTTCCCTCCCACTCAGAGCGCTGGGCAGAAATCCCGCCTTCTCGGCGCCCGCCGAGGGCCCTGGCCGAGCCCTGAGACCAGCTGCGGCCGCTAAGCTCGGGCGTCAGCTCTACCCGCCGGCACCCCCGCCGACGAGCCCGGTCGGCCGCCGCCCTGCCACCTTAAGAGAGTCCCAGCTACTCCCCCTCTTGACCCGCGCTGCGGACAACGCCCTTTCTTTCCCACTCGGAGCCCCGGGCAGAAACGGTGGCGCCTCGGCACCCGCCGAGGGCCTCGGCTAAGCGCTCGGAACCCGCTCTAGCCGCCCGACTCGGAGAGCGGGTCGAGCCGACGAGCCCGGACGACAGGTCTACCCGCTGCCCTGGGACACCGGCTCTACCCGCCGGCTTCGGACGAGGGCTCTACCCGCCGGGCACGGACGACAACTCTCCCCGCTGCGCGCCTCTGCGGCCGAGCCGAGGCGGCGGCAGCCGTGCCACCCAGGCAGAGCGCCACCCAGTTACTCCCCCCGTTTCCCCGCCCCGCAGAGAACGTCTCTTCTTTCACCCTCGGGGCAGGGGAAAGGCTGCTAGGCTCGGAGCGCCGGGCAGAAACCGCAGCGCTAAGCCCCGAGACCGGCTCTAGCCGCTACTCTCGGACACCGGCTCTTCCCGGCGGCGCCGAGGCGGCCGAGCCCGCTCGGTCGCAGCCGTGCCGTGCCGCCTAAAGAGAGTCCGAGTTACTCCCCCCGCTTCCCCGCGCCCGCAGAGAACGTCTCTTCTTTCAGCCTCGGGGCTGGGGAAAGCCTTAACGCCGGAGAGGAAGTCTGCCGCAAAGGGCCACGGGAGATGGAGTCCCCGCAACAAGCCCCCCGAGAGAGTACTCAACGGAGCATGCCCGCTGGACGGACTCGCTAAGAACTCTGGGAAATCGGGCAGGTCGGGGCACGGCCGGAAGGGCACGCCGCCGCGCCGACCGACGGATCGAGCGGTCGCACGCCGTCTGCTCGCTCTGTGAATTCGGTGCCACGTTCGGAGCACCGGCCGGAAATGGCAGCGCTTCGGCGCCGGCCGAGGGCCCTCGCCGAGCCCTCGGAGCGGCTCTAGCTGCCGGACCTGGACAGGAGCTCTACCCACGGGACTCGGAGACCGGGTCCACTCGCCGCCGGGCGGAGCCGCGGCGCCCCGGTTCCCGGGGTCCGCGCGGGATACAGGTCTACCCGACGCCGGGCCGAGCCGCGGCGCCCCGGCTCCAAGGGTCCCCGGCGGGAACAGGTCTACCCGCCACCGAGCCGAGGGCGGCGGCGCCGCGGCTCTAAGTCCCCCGCCCGGCGGGAACAGGTCTACCCGCCACCGGGCCGAGGGCGGCGGCGCCGCGGCTCTAAGTCCCCCGCCCGGCGGGAACAGGTCTACCCGCCACCGGGCCGAGGGCGGCGGCGCCGCGGCTCTAAGTCCCCCGGCCGGCGGGAACAGGTCTACCCGCCACCGGGCCGAGGGCGGCGGCGCCGCGGCTCTAAGTCCCCCGGCCGGCGGGAACAGGTCTACCCGCCACCGGGCCGAGGGCGGCGGCGCCGCGGCCCGGCGGGTCTACCCGCCACCGGGCCGAGGGCGGCGGCGCCGCGGCTCAGGTCTACCCGCCACCGGGCCGGGAGGGCGGCGGCGCCGCGGCTCTACAGGTCTACCCGCCAC